CCCCAAAACCCCAAAACCCCAAAACCCCATAAGGAGTAAATATGTAGAAAATGGACTGAGTATAAGAATTACTAATTTTATTATTTTGAAATGGATGATTAAATGAATAATTCAAGCAGAAGAAAAGTTTAAAACTCCTCCATGAAATTCAAGAATCCCCGAGTGGTCCTCAATGGTTTAAACAAAATTATACTTTGCGGGAAAAATAGCCGCTTTTTCGCAGGGTAAGTATAACTATGAGTAAATGGTGAGATTATAGAGAAAAGCCAACTGCAGTTATCATTGCTTTTTTATTGATTAATGTGCCCACGACATTATTTATTGCATTTCCTCTTAATGTAAATATTATATATTACAGAAGTTTGAATTTAGTATCTATGCGAGTATTGGGAAAACTACGCACCAATGGGAGTTGCTGGAGGTCTTTAACTTTTAATACTTTTGTTTATGCTGCTTACATCTTTATCAGATCCTGGGATCATACCGTCAAATGTAAAAACCATTATTATTCAACACTGATAGAAATTTGATGCAGCAAGTTCAACCAAAGCAATAGATAGAAAGTATTTGAATATAATGACTAAAGCAGAGAGAGTTTACTACCTTAGTGCGAATAAAGACATGCTTTATAGAATGAAGTTCTGTGAGACTTGCATGATTTTCAGACCATAACGCACAGCTCACTGCAATGTGTGCGATAATTGTGTAATGAGGTTCGATCATCACTGCATTTGGCTTGGAACTTGTGTAGGAAGAAGAAATTATAGATACTTTATGCTTTTCATCACTCTCCTTCAAATCTATGGAGTTTATGTTATGGTTTTTTGCGCTTTGTCTATTGCCTATAGAGGAGTTTAAGCTTAAGATGCTGGTGAGGGTTTCGGGTCAAGATGGTACGCAATCATTATTTTCATCTACGTTTTATTGGTAACTTTTTATTTTTTAATTTATTTTATAGTTCATGTGCTTTGTATCTATGCTTTGCTTGTATCACTACAAGATTATTCTCAATGATTAATCTACTAATGAAAATCTCAAGGGTACAGACGATGATCTGAATTTTAAACCCTATCGAAATAATAAGGGGAAATGTGGACTTTTATTTAGCGCAATATTGGGCAAGAATTTCAAGTCATTAGTACCAAACTCTTTGATTGCTTTCAGTAGGATCTATAAGAATTAGAATTTAAACAGCAGCAGGCTGAATGAATCAGCTGGATCAAATAAGTCTGAGAGAGTAGCTAACAACTAAGTATTCGAGTAATAACACTAATAATTCCACATGGCTATACACAATGAATCATCCATTCAAGACACCAACATCAACAATGCTTTGACTCATAATGTACTTAACCCAGTTTATAGCAACTCTATAAACCATAATAGTTCAAATATACATCAAAACAAAATGAATCAGAGTGAGAGTAGTGTCTCATCTCACCACCTTTAGAAGGAGCATTCATCTAATTTAAACTATAAACCTCACGTCGGTTATGAAGATCGAAAAGCAAAAACAAAGATGATTGAAGATATCAATCTTAACAATCTTAGCTAGCAGGCTCCTTTATCTCCAATAAGTTAGAACAGTCTTGGAGATGGGAGAAAGACCTCTCCATATAATAGAAAGTAACCTACTTAATCAAGAATAAATCTTAGTTCGCACCATAAGAATTAAGGAGCAGGCAGTAAAGTAAGGTAGAATTTAGATAGGAGTTCAGGTATAGATCCTGAATTCATTAATATCAATTCTATTCACAATCAATAAGTCAGTAGTTCAAGTTTTATTGGCTCCCTTCATAATTGATATTCAAATGAAAAGTAGTCTTGGTGAGTGAGAGATGCCTTAAATGACATATTTCAAATGCAAATACCTGAATGATACCTTATACACGTAATAAATAACACTACAATTTTAAGTTTAGAATCCAAATTAGCCACAATTTTATAATTAATTTCTCATTTTATTTTAAGAATTAAGCACTGGGGTTTTGGGGTTTTGGGG